TTTGGTAAAAGATTGTGATTTGATATTCATACGTAATCTCAGTACATGGGGCTATATATAGAGTTTTATATTTACACTTAAATACCATGTGAATATATTAAATGCTAAATACAATATATAGTCTAACATTCCCCCGCAAGCTAAGGGCGGGAAACAACCTGCAGCTTGGATCGTAGAAACAAAAACCTTTGCGTTGGTAGAGGCTTAGTGAAGACATCAGCAACTTGATCTTTTGTGGATATGAACTTAACATTCAGTTTACCATGTGCTACCTTTTCTCTAACAAAGTGAAAATCTACTTCAACATGTTTTGTACGAGCATGAAAAACAGGATTTGCAGAAAGATACGTAGCACCTAAATTGTCACCCCAAAGTGTAGGAGCTGTCTTGGTAGAGATACCGAGTTCTTTCAAAAGAGCTTCCAACCATGTTAATTCTGCAACAGTGTCAGCAAGAGCCTTATACTCAGATTCGCTAGATGACCGTGAAACAGTATGTTGTTTTCTTGCGATCCATGAGATGAGATTAGATCCCAAGTAGATGGCATATCCCCTGGTGGACCAACAGTCATTTGGATCCTTGACCCAGTCAGCATTGGAGTAGGCTTCAAAAGGGGAGGACACGTTGCTTTTCCAGGACGCATTCGTGAAGGCTTGAAGTGAGGATCCAGAGTCAGGACGAAGAAAAAGACCAAAACCAGAGGTGCCCTTCAGGTAGCGTAAAATTCTTTTGACTGCAGAACAATGGTTTTCAGTTGGCGCATGCATGAATTGACAAACCTTGTTTACAGCAAAAGTTATGCCTGGTCTCGATAGTGTTACATACTGGAGAGCACCAACAGTTTGGCAATACTTTGCTGGATCAGAAAGTAATGGACTGTCATCAAGACTTAAGGGTTGAGAAGTACTCATAGGAGAGTACATTGGTTTGCAATCTGACATACCAGCTCTATATAACAAATCCATGATGTACTTTATTTGAGAAAGAAGAATGCCCTTGCTAAGAGGCACGATTTCAATGCCCAAAAAATAAGCTAGATTTCCAAGGTCTTTGACAGCAAATGTAGTGCTGAGCTGATGAATGATTTTGTTGATTGTTGCATTGTTATTGCCTGTGACAATGATATCATCTACATAAACTAGAACATAAACAAGTGTGCCCCGAGACTGAAGAATGAATAGCGATGGATCAGTTTTAGAACCACGAAATCCGAGATGTTGCAAGCTAGTGGATAAGCGATGAAACCAGGCCCTGGGTGCCTGTTTTAGGCCATATAGAGATTTATGAAGCTTGCATACATGAGTTAGTTTATCTGGATCAACAAAGCCCTGTGGTTGGCGGATGTACACGGTTTCGGTCAAATCACCATGGAGAATCGCATTTTGAACATCCAATTGTCTGAGAGACCATCCCTTAGTGACTGCAAGAGAAAGAATCACTCGAATAGTAGTTGATTTAATGACCGCACTGAAAGTTTCATGAAAGTGAATTCTTGGTTGCTGCTTGAAGCCCTTCGCTACTAGATGTGCTTTATATCGAGTGACTTTTCCATTTTGATCTCGCTTTAACCTGTATACCCACTTACAGTCAATAATATTAGTATTTTGAACAGGAGGTACCAATGACCATGTTTTATTCTTAACAAGCGCGTGGAACTCTTCAGCCATAGCATGGCGCCATTCAGAAGATTGGTTAGCAACGGTAAAAGAGGTTGGTTCAAGAATGGATGAGGAAGAGACGGTTGTGTGGTAGGCGGCTGGATTGTATCTGTCGGTTAGCTTAGGATAAGGCCATAGGTTTTGTGGGCGAGATCGAGGAAGTGGGGGCTGTGGTGGTGACGTTGGAATGGTGGATTAGGAAGCAATAGGAGAGTTAGGAGGGCTATCTTGTGGGGATATAATGGGACTGTTTGGAGAGGAAGATTGGGTGCTGATAGGTGGGGAATTGGTGATAGAGGGTGTGTGGGTAGTAGATTGGTTTTGTGGAATAGGGTAGGTGGTAGGCAAAGGAAAAGTGGAAACGTAAGGAGTATCATTGGATTTGTTGGTTGGTTGAGAGGTAGTTTGAAATGGAAACACTCATTAAACCTGACATGACGGGCGATGTAGACCCGTTCGGTGGTTAGATCCAGGCATCGATATCCATGGTCACTCGGACTATAGCCGAGAAAAACACACGGGGTAGACCGGAAATCCATTTTATGGTGATTGTAAAGACGTAGATATGGAAAACATTGGCATCCAAAGGCACAGAGAAAGGTGTAATCAGGTCGTCTTTTGAATATAAGTTCAAATGGAGATTTGTTGGAAGAGACATCAGAAGGCATACGATTAATCAAATAAACTGCAGTTTCAAAAGCAAATTGCCAAAATCGTGTGGAACATGAGAGTGAGCAAGAATGGTAAGACCTGTTTCCACAACGTGTCGATGTCGACGCTCAACAACACCATTTTGTTCACTGGTGTGTGGGCAGAAGCATCGATGGATAATTCCAAGGGATGAGAAGAAGGGAGCAAGGTTGCGAAACTCACCTCCCCAATTGGTCTGAACAGATTTTAGTTTGGTGTTGAATTGGTGTTCTACCATTGTGACAAAAGTTTTAAATGCGGAATAGACATCAGATTTATGAGCTAAGGGAAAAATCCACATATATCATGAATAATGATCAACACACAACATGAAAAATCTAAAACCATCAAAAGATAATTGTGGTGCGGGTCCCCCAAACATCACAGTAAATCAAATCCAAAATGTTATTACTATGAAAATTTGAATCATGTAAATGTAATTTGGAAGACTTTCCCAACTGACAGAAAGTACATAATGAAGGAAGTAATTTAGTGGAAACAGGTAAAGAACAAGTAGAAACAATGGAATTAAAGACACGTTGGTGTGGATGACCAAGTCTTTGATGCCAAACGATGGAAGATGTTCTTGTGGCTGTAAATGTATTCTTAGGAATGGGTTTGAGTTGTGGTAGGCGAATGGAATATAAACCATGATCACTTGGGCCCGTGAGTAGGATAGTGTGTGTAGGTGCGTCCTTCACAACAAAAAATGAAGAGTGAAATTCAAAAAAAACATTATTTTCTCGACAAAATTGTTAGACAGATAGGAGATTCTTTTTAATGGCGGGAACATGAAGAATGTTTGAGAGATTAAATGTTTTATGTGGTGAAGAGATTTTAGAGGAACCAATATGAAAAATTGGAAGAGCCTTACCATTGCCAACCTGAAGGGAGTCAGTACCATAGTAAGCTTCAGAGTTATCTAAGCTTGACAAGTCTGGTGTAACATGGCTATTAGACCACGTGTCAGGAAACCATGTTGCAACTGAGGTAGAACCGGTTTCTGAGAGGTTTGCATAGTTTGCTTGTGGCTGTGAAGAAGAAGAACGAGCATTAGATTGATTTGGACATTGAGATGGAATATGTCCGATGCCACATCGATTACAATGCCCATAAACAGTGTTTTGGGTTGATGCCCATGCAAACTGTGAACGATTTCCATTGTTGTTTCCACGATTATCCTCACGTCCTCTGTTTGAATACCCACGTGAATTCCCACGGGTATTGTTACGTCGGTTGCCCCGAAAATTGTCCATTGTTGTTTCCACGATTATCCTCACGTCCTCTGTTTGAATACCCACGTGAATTCCCACGGGTATTGTTACGTCGGTTGCCCCGAAAATTGTTTGATGGACGAGTTGCATAAAAGGCTTGGGGTTGCAGTTGAGAAGAAATAGGATTCAATTGAAATCCAAGTTGTGAAGCAAGTTGTCGTAAAGAGGCTATTTGATTCTATTGAATAGCATTTGGTCTTAGAAGAGATTCTCCAGCAGAAGCAACAAAGGCTTGAGGAGCAGCGACCGGTGTTGAACTAGATTTGTTGATCATGAAATCATGATCACTGAGGAGGCATTGCAATTCATTGAAGGCGATAGGAGGAGAGCGAGCAAGAAGATTGGATTTCAACCCATTGTATTCATCTCTTAGCCCCGATATGGCTAGCATAACAAGGTCCTTGTCTTTAATTGGCTCTCTAATGTTGGCTAATGCAGTCGCGTACTCCTGTGCACGGGTGAGATAGGCGATTGAGGATTCATCACCCTTCATCTCTATTTTTTAAGAGTTGTGTTTTCAACGTGTATTCCCTGGACGAGGTATTAGGTGCATATGCTCGTTCTAATGAAAGCCAAAGATCTCTTGATGTTGTGCCTTGAACATGTTGGAAGGAGGCTTCAGAGATGGTGGATATGATTATCATTTTGATATGTGCATCGTTAGAGACCCGGTTGAGATAACTAGGGTTATCAAGAGATGAAGATTGATCAGCTCCTCCTGGAATTTTTGGTGCAGGGCATAGTGCCATCTACATAGCCGAATAGATTGTTGGTTATTAAGAAGGGTTGGATCATTGCCTTCCAATACCCATAGTTAGTGGGTGATAACGTGAAGGCAAACTTATGTGAATCATGGGCTATCTTTTCTGCGGAGGCGAATGCTGTAACAATAGCCATGATCGACTGGGTTGGATGATGGTTGGATTTGATCGGCGATGGCAGGAGAGTTTGGCAGCCAAGTTGACGGCTACTAGAGTTTATTGATTGATCACACTCTGATACCAAAACAGAACAGATAATGTAATTTGGTAAAAGATTGTGATTTGATATTCATACGTAATCTGAGTACATGGGGCTATATATAGAGTTTTATATTTACACTTAAACACCATGTGAATATATTAAATGCTAAATACAATATATAGTCTAACATCCTTTCATTTTTGTTTCCTATTTTATTTTTATCATTTTCTTTTATATGAATTTTCTCGATATGAATAAGAAAGAGATACAAGAAGCTGCATTTACGTTAAAGAGACATTATACATTAAGTAAAAGTAATGAATAAAATGTACATCAACACACACACAAACACAAAAATCAGATCTATTTAGCCCTCCATTTTTCTTTCTTCACAATGTTATACCCAATTCCCCTTTTAGCCTTTTAGGTTTTTACATCCAATCCAATCCAATCTACTCTACAGTTATTTCCAATATTGTAGTAAGTCGCGGTTTCTTATATCTTCTTAAAAGCAAAGAAGAGCATACAACACTTACAGATGAGAGTGCCATACATGCACCAGCCACCCACGGTGGCAACTTGAGCTTTATCCACGGAAAGAAAACTCCGGCTGCAATCGGAATCGAGATCACGTTGTATGCCATGGCAAAAACGTAATTTAATCGGATACGTGTGAAGGTCTTTCTCGAGAGATCAATGGCTGTGATCACATCTTCCAAGTTGTTTCTCATTAGAACGTAATCGGCCGCCTCGATTGCGATGTCGGTTCCTGCTCCGATTGCGATTCCAACGTCGGCTGCTGCCAAGGCAGGGGAATCGTTGATTCCGTCTCCCACCATCGCCACTATGCTGCCGTCTTTTTGAAATGAACGAATGACATCAGCTTTTCCGGCTGGCATCACCTCCGCCCTTATGTCATCAATGTCCACCTGCACAAGAAATAAATAAATAATAATTAAAACTTTAATCCATCCAATAAGCTACAAATGAGTGTTGTCTTTTTTACTTAATAAAATGAAAAAGGTCATACCTCCTTGGCCACAGCCTTAGCAGTCCGCCAATTGTCTCCGGTAACCATGATAGGTCGGATACCCATTTTTTTAAGACCTTCCACCACCACAGCCGCCTCTCTCTTCAACGGATCCGCCACCCCTACCACCCCAATCAGTTGTGTATCACATGCCACCAGTATACCTGTCTTTGCATTTTCTTCTAACTCAACCACAAAATCTTCAACATTGGTCGGAATCGTGATTCCATTCTCCGTCAGCAAACTTCTGTTACCAACCTGTTCAATTATACAATTAATTAACGGTCATTCCATCATCATGTTTGGTAATTTAATTATATTATATTTATATGTAAATACATGTCTGTATATATAGTTTTAACTCTACTGAATACATTACATTATATGATTATGACTGATTATAGAATAGACAAATAAATATTGTAATTTAACTAAACAAGTGAAACATGGAAAATAAACATGTGATGTGGTATTGGAAATGATGGAATGAATATCAACAAAAAGGAAGTTATTATTATTATGTTTGTTTCATTCCAACCAAGATTACCAAACACTATTAAAATTTCACCAAACAGATAAAACACAAATTGTGAGTATCTCACCAAAACTTGCTTGCCATCAATATAACATCCAACACCTCTTCCGGGAATTGCGGAGAAATCAGAGACATCTAGAAGCCATCCGGACATTAGCGACTCATTGTTTTTATGAGAATCTTTGGTTGTTGCATTCGGGTCAAAGAATTGAAAATGGCGAGCATATTCCACTATTGCCTTCCCTAACGGATGTTCGCTACTTGCCTGAAACAGTTTTGGAATTTCAGATATATAATATAATATTCCTAATGCTTCTATTTTCAGATATCTATCTAGATTCTAATAAAGTACACTCACTACACACCTCAGCAGAAGCTAATAATCTGAGGAGATCTCCACGATCCATTTCCTGCGTGAATAGTTTGACTGTGGTGACTGTGGCTTTACCCTGAGTCAAAGTTCCGGTTTTATCAAAAATGACGTATTTAACCTTCTGGGCCCTTTCCAATGCATCACCCCCTTTGATGAGAACACCGTTGTTGGCTCCAACCCCGGTTGCAACCATGACAGCAGTCGGGGTGGCCAAACCGAGTGCACACGGACATGCAATTACAACAACTGATATCGAAAACATAAGAGCGAATACAAAGTGGTTGCCGTTTTCAGGTAGCCATTCTTCTGGGTAAGCTCCAAGTGATCCGCTCACATACCTAAATCAAATTTACCAGATGTCATTTCTATTCTCTTCTCTTCTGTTATGTTATAACACTATGTATTATGTTATTTATTGTCAGTCTATGGATTGGAAACTTACCACCCTAGCAACGTCATTAATGACAAACCAACCACCATAGGGACAAAAATGCTTGCAACCTGAACCACACACATATTCATAATACACATAATAAGTGAATTGTCTTTTGATATCATACTTACAATAACCAAATTTATATAAATTTCCATTTCTTTCATGTCAAAAATGCAAAGAGATTCTTATTAAATTCACCCATCTGCCTGGTAAGGGAAATAGGCTTTCCCCATTAACTCATAACCTTACCTGCGCTTGTTTGTTTTTTTCTTCCATTTTTCTCAAATATCATTTACTGAGACAGCATTTGATGAAAAAAACAAGCCCTAACAGAATATCAAGTTTATAAATATAGAAACAAGAACACACCAACTATAACTCACATGCTAACTATGTTTCTGATTATCCGATCCATGCAACAATGTTCCAGTTTTTTTACCAATTTATGCAATAATCTTTCCTTTTTTAACCTATTTATGCAACTTATACAACCATGTTTCATCAGGTTAAACAGGTTACTGGTAAAACATCGTATGTTTTGGTCCTAAAATAAATAATACACCGGTGCATATTTTCTAATAAAGAAACAAATTTGTTGCATAATCGGGAAGAGGGTGTATGCTGTTTCATAAATATGTATTTAATCCTTTTAAATATAAACACTCCAACCATAATTCACATGTCTACTTACAATTATTCATGCAACAATATTTCATCTTTTAGCAATTTATGCAACAACAATATTCCATATTTGTATATACATATGCAGCTGACACGAAATATACAACAAGTTCGGAGTAAAATAATGGATCTTCTGGTGGTTGCAGATTTAGTATGATAAATAAAGAGATTTGTGGCATAAATAGTGAAAAGGGTGCATAAATAATAAAAAGTAAAAAGAAAGAGGAAAGCTGACTTACATAATCAGCAAATTTCTGAATAGGTGCTTTTGACATTTGTGCAGTCTCAACAAGAGAAATAATCTGGCTCAAAACAGTATCGGAACCAATTTTGGTTGCCCTGACATGGAGTAAACCATGAAAATTGATTGTACCTCCAATCACCAATGAGTCAACCTCCTTCAAAACAGGTGCTGACTCACCAGTCACCATACTTTCATTCACATGACTTGAACCCCACTCAACAACACCATCCACTGGAACTTTTGTACCTGGAACAACTTTTAATACATCACCCGGCTGAATCAGCAATGCATCTATTTCCCTTTCTCCGATGTTCTTTCCACCTATCAAATCAATTAATATAAAACTCTTTTTTACACAAAACATTATCATTTTCTATTAAATAATATATAACAAATAATGCAAGAAAGATAGATAAGATACCTTTGTCTTTAAGGAGCAGCAAAGCGGTTGCGGGCACTAGCTCCACCAACTTCTTTATAGCATCTGATGTTTTCCCTTTTGCAAGAGATTCCAAATACTTCCCAAGCAACACAAAAGTTATTAACATGGCACTAGTCTCAAAATAAGTCGGAGACCAAAACCCAGTAATGGCACCATACAGAAGGGCATAAACGGAATAAAAGTATGATGCTGTGGTCCCCAATGCCACCAACACATCCATATTTGTTGAACCGTTACGTAATGCTCTGAAAGCCGCAACATAAAAGCGTTTCCCAATACCAAACTGAATAATAGTAACCAGTATCCAGCTCAGCCAATCACCCATCTGGAAGGGCCCACATCTCCATAGCAATAATGCGTAAACAAGCGGTATGTGTGGGCATATGAATCGCATCAAAAAGATTGGAAACTGCACAAAAAGTTAGTTACTTAGTTAGTGCAATCCATCAAACCCTCCACATACTCACTACTCATTACTTACACTCAGGAAAAGACTGGATGTGAACAGCCTATACATCTTTGATGATTCTTCTTCATCTTGAGATACCATTCTTGTGTACGGGTTCTTTACATGCATCTGAAACCTCCCTGAGCTTTCTCTAACGATTGCATCAACTAAAGATCTTGGACCAAGAATCTCAGTATCAAACAGAACATCTAATTCTCTTGAACCCCGGTTAAAACCAAATTCTCTAACTCCTTTCAAATTGCAAACTATGCTTTCCAATGTCTGTGCATCCAACTCGTTTGATACCCCAACAACACCCAATATAATCTTATCCTGCTCGCTACTCTGTACAAATGTGGCATCAAAACCAGCATCTTCAATGGCGCTCACAATTTCCTCCTTACTTATTACCAAAGGATCATACTCCACTTCCCCTAATGAAGTTGGAAGGGCAACAATGGCTCTTTTGACACCAGGTAGCTTTCTTAGGATACCTTCAACGGAATTAACGCAAGCTGCACATGTCATGCCTCCAATTGTGAACTGCCCTACGAGACTTCCTTGTGGCTTTGTGCCAGAAGTACTCTTTTCCTGTAGAATCTCCGCTTCAAACCCTGCATCTTCTATTGCATTCTTAACATCGTCTTCCTGTACAAATTACAATTAGGATAATTTGGTGTTAAGAAAATAAAAGGTTCAGATCAATTTTGAAAAATATCAGACAACGACTGAAAAACAGTAAAGAGGAACAATCTGTTGGGTTCGACATGTCCCTTGTAGATCAATCGGAACAATTGCCGATGCTTATTACCCGAATCAGGTTTATAAGAAAATCAATTTTTTTCCTTAAAAGCTTAGTTCGAACCCATCGGAGGACTAATCAAAGACTGAAAGTGATTCATGGCAGGAACAACATACTGACCTTGACCAAATTGGGATCGAAGACGACATCGGCTCTGTGCTGCAACAAGGCGACAGAAGCACTTACGACGCCATTTAAACTCATAAGAGCTCCTTCAACGGAATTCGAACACGCTGCACAAGTCATCCCTGTAACTTTCACCTGAATTCTCTTCATACCCCCTTCTTCTAAACCCTGTCCGCTTTTACCTGAATCAGCAGTATTATCATACCCGTCTTCATATGAATCCAGCAGTCTAACGTCCTCGAGGTCACCGCCTACATCGATCGCCAACGAATCACGGTCGCCGCCACCAACCCCCGTCAGCTGGAGGTCTTTGAAGGTCGGCGCCATTGCAAAACCACAGCGACTAAACAACTATGTATATATTTCCTATATATGTATATATTCTGGAGGAATAGATGTACGTATATGCTGGATGAGAGAGAAAAGTGTGGGAGAGAGGTGGTGAACACAGAGAGATTGAAAAATGGTGTACTATAAGAAACCAGTCTTGGTGGGTAAGGGCAGGTAAACAAATACATATAATTAGCAATGTTTCTCTTAGCCCCCTCATTTTTACTATTTAATCGACATACACCCCATAGAATACAACAACTCTTTCTGCACCCCTGATATTTTTGTGTTTTATGGATTTGACCCAAATTTTAACTACACATTCTCTATTAATAAATTATCACTTTAGCTGTTTATCATAACAAGTAAATATTAAAATTTTAGAATTTAAAAATTATATATTTTCAAGATTTTTCTCTTTTACAAGGTCTATAATTTTTTTCTGAAACTTTCAAACAAAACAAAATCCTTCACATAACGCATAATATATATGTCGCCATGTCGGTTTGTTCTTGAAGAAAAAACATTTCAAATCACTTACATATATTGTTTTGTTTAGCAAAAAAATATATAACAGTAATAATGAAGAACACACTTGTTTAAAATTTTTTCCTTAATTCATTATTGTAAGTCATGAAAGTTTTTTTTCAAATGTTAATTAAGTTACATGTTACTTTAAATATTTTTATTCAAAATACTTATTTTAGAGTCTTTCATCCTAACAATATGAGTGCTAACTTAATTTCTTACAAGAATGCAATGTTGTTATAATGACTAAATTTTTATTAGTTAGTTAGCACTTAAGATTATGAAGAGTCCTTGATAAATTGACGATTGAGACAAAAGTGTACATTAACCAAATTGAGCATTGTGGCTTTTTATAGCAGAAAAATGTAATTAAAGTCCAAAATCGTGACAGTTCAATCCCTATAACTGCATCTGAAATCTGGTCAGAACCTATAGGACCATTCATGCCTTTTATTCATAAAAGTATATATATTGTTTTAATAAGTAAGGAAATTGGGTAGGGGGGATTTACCAGATATAGCCCTTGAGATAGCTTAAATTTCGATTTTTATCCTATTTTGTACGATACTTCTATTACATGTTGTACTACACGTTTGACTTTTTCTAATGCTTCTCGACGGCTGAATTCCTCAATGGACATTATGGTAATTAGCTGCTTTTTAATGTTTTCAATGACAAAAACCTTTGACCTAGACCCATTAATCTTTTATAAATAAGATTACATAGACATAATATTAAAGGGAATTTTCCAAAAAAAGTTCTAATATCTACTATAATAAGTAAAGTTTTTTTTGTCACATGTCATTTTATTGTTCATTTAGATACATAACATTTTCTAATATTTTTTAATTTTCTATTTTCACTTGTCATTTTATTGTATTTTTCATTATATTAAATTAAAATTCTACATTTAATATGTAAAGTAATATATATGTAAGGTATGTATTAAAAAGGGTTTATATATGTAATGTATCAAATACATTAAAACCTCATTAATTTTAATAATTCAAAAAATTTCTCATTTTTCTTTATAAATTCAAACTTTTCAAATTGTTAAAATTTTATATTTAATTTTTTTTTTAATTAAACTCATGTAATACATGAGTTTCACACCTAGTGAATAATATTTTAGTCCAATTTACACACAAAAAAAAATCAAATTTAGTTTTGTTCTAAAAACCTTGAAAAAACATTTTGACGGGTTTTACTGATTTAGTCGGTATCATGCTCTTTTTCGTTAGTTTGGTTAAAATATTAAGATTTTTTTTTTAAATTATCCAATAACCAAAATATTGAGATTCTGAAAATTACCATGTAATTAATGGATATTATTATTAACAGATCATTTATAAACATAATAAATATTTTTTTTATTCTAAATAAAAAAAATACAATTGTTGCTAATTTATAATAATAGAATGGTGGATTAAGTACTCATCTATTGTTTGATAACTACTTCAAACTCTCTACGTTCCTCCTATTATGTACATTTCTCAAATTAATTACTTAATAAACAGTCAATAAGTGTATGTTTGATATAAGGTGTGATGTTATAGAATCACATATTATTAAAAAAATCTTATTACACAATAATTCTTAAACATATAGATATTTCATTATGTTCTTTAACCTAACTATCACCTAACCTCCATACATTATACGGTAAAAACCATTGAATTACACATACATATCGAGAGTGAAAAATAGACTTAGAAAATTAATTTAAATAGATAATCATCATTCACATGTTTTCATGTAAACTGTCATTCACAATTCACTTTCCACATTCGATGGATATAAGTTAGTCGATGGTTATTACCAGGTGAAATATTGATGATGGGTTGTAGTTAGGTTAAAGAACATTAGAGGAACACCTATAGAGTACATTAGGGATGAGCAGCGGCCTCGAAACCGCCTTAAGCGGTTTCGGTTCTGGTTCTTATTTTTATGGAACCACTACTCATTGGGTGCCCGCCAGAATCGGTATATATATATATATATATATCAGTGTTGCAAATATCGGCCTAGGCGGCCGATTAATCAGCGCCTAGGTGCTTGGCGGTCCTCTACCATCGACGTTTATAGCTAATCGGAGTATATAATCGGATGTGGTTAAAGTCGGTCAAAGACTGGTCTAGGCGTGTCTAGGCAGGTCTAGGCGGTCAACGAAGTCAACGTAATTTTAAAAAATTTCAAGGGCAAAATTGTCAAAATGGAACAAATGATTTTAGGGTTCAATCTGTTTTCTCATTCGATGCAGTAAAAAAAATAACATTCTCTCTGCCTCTCTAGACACAAACGACGAATGAGAACAACAAATGAAATCGACACAGTTTCTTCTTTAATTCATCTTCGACTTTAACTCTCACCATCTTCGTCTCACGCCGTTGACTTTAGCTCCAGCCTCCGGTTCGTCATCTCCTTCAAGCCACGATGTCGCAGCCCCCTTCCAAGCTTCAATTCACGATTTCAGCTCCTCCCATCACGAAGTTTCTCGGCTCACGATTCCAGTTCACGAAGTTTCTAGGTTCCAAAATCAACTCTTCTTCTGACTTCAGCTCCTCTCATCGACACTAATTGAATCATCTAGCAAATGTTAGTTTTTATTTGGGTAAATTACACGAATGGTCCTTATGGTTTGGGGTAACTTGCGGGTTTGGTCCCTAACTTATTTTTCTAACTCGGAAGGTCCCTACTATTTGTTTTTGTTACAAGCTTGGTCCCTGTCTTACATAAAAAAAATCTAGTTTTCCCTTGATTTTTTAATTTATTTAAATAAACACACCTCCAATCTCACCTTATCTCCTTACCTTACCTATTCTACCATTTTCCCCTATTTAAATAATTGTCTTTTTATGTAATATAGGGATCAAATGCGTTACAAAAACAAACAATAGGGACCAAACATGTAGCAATAACAAACAGTAGGGACCTTCCGAGTTAAAAAAATAAGTCATGGACTATACGTGCAAATTACCCGAAACCATAGGGACCATCCGTGTAATTTACTCTTTTTATTTTTTACTACTCTGTGACAGCTTCTTCTGTTCACAGCAAGCAATTTATCAATTGACCATGAGTTAAGTCTCAATGGTATACATCATACATGATTTATGTGAGTTTGATTTATGGAGATTAGGAAGAAGAAGGTGAAATCGATTTGAGATTAGGAAAACTGAAAAAGCTATCCAATGATATCACATATCAATGGTATACATCTGTTAACAGTTCTTCTATGACATTTATTAAGAAATTGAACATTTGTTAAGAACTTTGATAAGAAATTAAACATTTGTTAAAGCTGTTTAACATGAAATTTGTTTAGAAATTTGGTATCCTATTAATTGTCTGTTGTAGCTGTTTAACATGAAATCTGTGAAGTAGTGTTTTTTTTTTTTTTTAATCTGTTAAATATAAATATGTTGTGCATATGTTTTCTTGAAATCTGTTAAATAGAAATATCACAAGTAGTTTTTTTTTTTTTTTTTTTTTTTTAATCTGTTAAATATGAATATGTTGTGCATTTGTTGATAACTTGAAATCTGTTAAACATGAATCTCTTAAGTATTTCTTTTAGAACTTTAGCATTAAGGCATTAACATGAATATGTTAAATATGAATATTAAGTTGTTTGGTTGATTAATAATCATATTATCAAGCATTTATATTATATTTTTTAAGGTGTTAATTTTTTTAATGTGTTAATGTGATGATTTAACACGTGACAATCAATGACTTCGAATGCTTCAACTACACCGTCTGTGGGATCAACCCCCACCGATACACATAAAATGGAATTCAGATGATATTGGCTGGGAATATGGTTTTATCCCGGATAAAAGCAACTTGGATAGATTGAAATGTAAATTGTGTGGAAAAGTGTTTGGCGGAGGGATTACTAGAATGAAACAACATATTGCTCATGTGAAGGGGAATGTATCTTCACATCCAAGTTCTACAAAAGATGATCAATTGAAATGTCGATTTGGTGTGTTTGTTGAACTTATTATTAACTTTTTGTGTTTGTTTTGGTCTTTTGGATGATAATTTATTGTGTTTATTAAACTTTTATGCTTATTTACTTATATTATTATGATTAAATTTAGATTTATTAAATTTTGAATTATTTTCTTAATAATTAATGGTCTCCGATTAATCTCCCGATTAATCCCCGCCTAGCCGATTAATCCTTTGACCCTAATCCACCGTCGAGCTACCGTCAAACAATTTTTGCAACCTTTATATATATATATATATATATATATATATATATATATATATATATATATATATATATATATATATATATATATAAAGTGAGAGAGAAAGAGAGAAAAAAAAAAGATAGGTTCAAATGTTTCTCACATCTATTGTTTGTTAGAATGCACCAATTAAAATTAAATTACTATTTAATCAAATAAATATAGATATTAAATGATTTTCATAATTATATGTATATTAAATGATATCCATAATTATAATTTTTTTATGGAAACTAATTAAATTTGTCATTAATATCAGTAATAATATTCTTTCAAAATAAATTTGTATCTAAAAGAATGGCATTGTATTCTAGCAGAATGAGAGTGTATTCTAGTAGAATACAATTTCGTTCTTCAT